TTGATCGCCCGCTATGACATGCACTGACCAACAGGGGGCGGGGCAGGTGACCAGCAGCAGTGGCGGGGCCCTGAGGGAGCAAAGGAAGGAGGAGGCGGGGAAGTGGGCCCTGATCGCCAGCCAGGCCTAGGGACACTACCCGTGCATGAATTTTATGCACCAGGCCTCTAGTGTCATTATATTTCCCTTGGGGGGGTGGGGAGATCCATTGTGTTCTCTTATAACATGTCAAACATTTAAAACCTCACTGGTTTGTGGGTGTTTTTTTTTTAATCTCAGATATTAAATATCCACTTAGATTCTGTGTGCTCAGGCATACATTTTATAAAGGTGATAATTTTAGGTTGGTATAAATGGTTTAAGTAATAATTAAAGGTATAAATTCTTAATAGGCTTTCTCTCATGTTAAAGTTTGAAGTGACTAGGTTTTCAACATTTGTACCCCAAAAGTTAACTTGCTTCATTGTCTTCCCCCTTCATTCCCTAGACTCTAGGGCCTAGAGATTAATGATTTTTTTCCCTTACCATCATAATTAAACCCTTATGAATTTTTAGCCAGATGAAAATCTTCAGAACCCTAATGGTCTGGGAAATATTTTTTGGCCTTGGGAAAAAAAAAAAAAAAAAAGAAACTAGTACCCAAACACCAGCTTAAAACAAAACAAAACGCAAAGCTCTGACCATTTCAACTTTTTAAAGGTCCGTGTTGCTGCTGTAACAGCAGGTAGAACCTACTCCGATGACGTCAGTGTTGTGGAGCCCATTTGTAACAGCCAGACATCCCCAAACAAAGGATTGGAATCATAAGACAGAAATTATATCCATTTTACTCTTTCAGGCCCTACTATTCCTTCTGAGCAACACACATGATAACTAAATCAGGATTACATATTTGAGACTCAAAACAAATGTCTCCACGTACTGCAGATAGCAATGTTTTAAAAATGACTTTTTCTTTCTTCTCTCTTAAAATCCTAGACTTCCCATATAATCTTTGCAGATCATTTCCTAACAGACTAAATTTATAACACGTTTATGGGGCCAGGAGGATGTTACCGGAGAAAAGAAGTTTTAGGAGCATTAGCTGAGATTATGGAAGAAGGAAAGGCAGGAAGTAAATAAAAGGACAATGCTACAGTCCCAAGATCACAATACTGGACAGAAATTGATGACAAAGGTGAATTACAACACTTATTGTGTAGAACCAAAACTCATTTCCATCTGACATTTCAAATATATTTATCAAAAGCTAGTGTGAGGATTCATTTGACCAGGTTACGGAAATTCTTTATGAAGCACCAAACCGAACTCAACCCCAAAGGCTAAAACCTCAGATTTTTTACACATTAATATTCCAACCACTACATTCTGACCCGCAGAAAGTTGACCCCGTGGCACAAACGGAAAAACCAAGGTCCAATTCGCTCCAGTGTCCTCTGAAAAAATGATCTCATTGGAAGGATGACAACAGAAGAGGGAGTGACCCTCTTCAGTATTTTGTGTACTACTCCCACTCACCCAGCCTCCCAGGAACCACTAATTTTGTTTTTAAAAATCTTTCCTGTTTCTTCTACATTGCGAAAGGGAAAGGAATGAATTCAAAAGGAATGTCATTTCCAAAGCTGACCCTCCTAAGACTCAGTGCTGAGGCCTGCTTTTGTCCCCAAGTTCTCCAACCCCTGAGACACAGCTATTTCACGGCTGTCTTCTTAGCCCCACAAAATGGCTCCCTTTGTGCCACTTGCTCAGGACCCCAGGGCTGGCCACACAGGACTGCAGATTCCCATCGATGAAGAATAGATGCCCAGAAAAAGCGGAGGCTAAGCTCCCTCCGAGCCGTGAGCAAGGATCCCAGAGATCCCACCTCAGAGAGCAGCCCAGACAATGTGGGCATGTTCCACCGGATCCAAACCCTCCCGCCAAGTTAGGCAACCGCTTGGAAAAGGGTCCCGGTCCAAACCCGCCACCCAGTGCCCCTTCCCCAAATGCAGTGGCCTAAGTGGCCAGAAAGGCCCCGCTTCCCGAGTGGAAATAGTACACGGAAGAGACAATGGATGTCTCCGGCCCCGCCCAAGAACAGGAAACCTCCTCCTGCAAGGGAACTGGGGCCAGAGATGAACTCATTTCACAAACGTCCAAGAGGTGGGATGCAAAGACCGAGGTCCGCAGGTTTGAGCACAGAAAACCCACTCGGACTGGCACACGCCCTCTCCCGTTCGCAGGTGGGCGCAGGAGGGGAAGGAGCGGGGGTCTTTCCTTTGTTAGCAGAAGGGAGGCACTTGGCAAGGGCTGGCTGACGGCTGGGTCCTGGAAAGGAAGGAGTTGGGGGTCGCGATGACCATCCTGCGTGCCCACCAATGCCACCTGCCAGACTGGCCCCAGTGGGGAGAAGCCCGCCGGACCCGCTCGCTGCGACCGCGGAATCTGATCGCCACGCCGATCGCACGGCCGCACCTGCCCCGAGCAAGTGACAGGAGCGCGTGGCCCGGGGGTGAGACAATGGGGCCTGGCCGAGACGCCCCTAAGCTGTCCGGGCACCCGGGGGCTAAGACCACCGCCCTGGGAACGGGTTGGCCCCGCTTAAAAGAGGAGGACGCGAACCCTCTCGGTACAGCCCAACTTACAACCCGCGGCGCGTTAAGGGCGAGTCCCCGGCCCTCCCGGTCCCTCGCTCCCGGGCAGGAATGAATGAGAGGAGAGGGAGTCGGGCGGGGCAGCGTGCGGGGCTCGCGGGGAGACACAAAGGCGGGACTGG